AGGGAGAGAGTGATGGACAGGTCATTCTTAGATGGCCCATCTGATTAAAGATCAAACATTGACACATATTGTTAAGGAGTTGTTTTCGTCGGATTGAAACTTTGATTTTGCGTAATGTTTAGGGTTGGCATGATCAATTGGGATGTCACGAGATTCTCGGTTCGGGAACTGGAGGTCGCCCGATCGAACCTCGGCGCAAAATGCTCAAGATTAGGGCTGCTCGCATCGGGCAAAGACCCGGACTTAATCGGGGTCATGGAACTTATATAATGTTTCATGAGCCTTTGTATCTTCACGCCCGTCGCTTTGAATTATGAGGGCAAAAAAAAATAGAGTTTGTTTACGCATTCAAATCTCGTTTTCATTAACCAATTTCCAGTGAAGTCTCTTCACTATATGGCAACGAAATTTATATATCATTTTTTTACCATATCATACAATTTTACGAAAAAGTAAAATTTTTTCAAAATCCACCCAATACATAAATTTTTCACATGTGCACGTGCATACATACATACAAATAATTTGTATGATTGAGGGTTGTCTCACTTCCTTTTCAAGAACTTTTGCTATTGATTGATGAAATAATAGAAGGGAATCACCGATTAATCACCCCCGTTTACTTCAAAAAAGAAAAAGCCTTTGAATGGCAGTTGAGAAACTCACCGATTAATTAATATATATATATATATATATATATATTTTGCTAATTAGTGCTTGATTTTTGCGGGGTGCAAAAAATAAAATTTTAATCATGAATAAATAAATAAATAGGAGATAGTGCGCGAGCCTTGAGATCACTTGATTGAAGGAAAATTAAAAAATTTAAAAAAAAAGAAGAAGAGAGAGAAAAAAGAAAAGATCTGGAGGGCGTGCATTGGAAGCAATCGTAGAATATACCAAAACCGCGTAAAGCGCATGTGCTTTCCTAACCCCCTGATTAAGAAAAGCGCGCCCCTTGATGTTGACACGTGGTGGAGCTCTGCGCCCTTCGTGGGGCCGCCACCGACTCCCGCCTGTCCCACCTTGAGCCCTGCGCCAAGAGCTGTCCCCCCGGCCGGCCCCGTGTGTGTGTGTCCGAGATCGGATCGGACCGGGTCGAATCGATCGGACTCGAGCGAACATATAAGTGCCGGAGAAACCCGGGTCGGCAAATTCTAAATGTGTGGGCAGCATAGCAATGTTTGCGTAAGGATGTATCGAACGTGCGAGCTAGACAGAAGGATCGACGGAACACGAATGGTTTAGAGATTATTAGCACTCTTTTGTTTTTCCTGTGGATTCAACTTTTCGCTTTTCAATTTTATTTATTTCTGATCTCGTGATATTTGGATTTGACTTTTATCTAACGTCTAATGTTTACAAGTACTCTTTACATTGTTTTAAGACTCAGAGTAGCTTGTCCCGTTTCGAATTTAAAATGGGCAAACTAAAAGATGAAACGATACGTAAGTCACTTAGGTTAAAACTGCACGAGCTACATAGCCTCACGTACGTGACGACGCGACACGGGTCATCACGTGCCGAACGCGAGAAGACGGTCATCGGTTGGAGATCGAATTCCCTAAGAAGCCTCGATATTTTTAACCCCTTTCTTAGAACTTTTCAATGAGTGGCAATGATGCCTCCAGGGATTACGAAGACAAGCATGCAATCCACGAAAGCTTTTATGGGGAGGCAACTTCTTGGGGAACTTCGATCTCCTTAAACGAACAGGAGGTGGTGGTACCAAAATGATCATTTGCTCCCTCGAAAAGGGTCGAACCCTAATTCAAAGAAGAGAGATCTCTTATCGCGGAGGAGATGGATAGTTCCCTCGAGATTTCTTGCTCGAAAACGGCTGCTGCTGCTGCTGCATGGTACCTTCGGGCTACGACTACTACGGCTCATGCGTCGTGGAGGGGGATTGGGATTTTATCTTCGTAATGATAGCTTGCGAAGTGGGCACAAACGTTGTTGTCGCCAAAAGCTGGCCATTGACATGTATGTCTCGCCCAATCAAAGGGGGTTGCTTGCACGAGGGAACGTTTTCGAATGCATGGGAAGCGTCGATGCATTTGGCCACCGAATCAAAGCAAATGGGACTTGGCCATAAAGTGCTTTGCCCTAGGCCCCCAAAAAAAAAAATTTTAAAAAGAAAAGAAGGCGACCCAAGAAAGGGTCCATCATCATCTTTGCTTTGATTGTACTATGATGGGAAGACAGATTCCGTGGCTAATAATGTCCTTAGTTTCGCATTAGGATAAGGTTCTTTAAATTATCGTTTTGTTATTTTATTCATTAGCTAGCATGATGGAAGGATATGATTTGAGGATTATTGAATAAAGTGGGGGTCTTGGGGACATAATTTGAAGGAGGGTGTAACTAAGATCTTGCCCATCCATCAATTTGTCTTTATGTCCGCTCTCTTTGTAGTCACAAGCTATGGAGGGCGATCACCCACTAATCAGACCGAATTCCTCGTCCCTTCCATCCTCGTTATTTCTCGTTCGAGAGCCAAAGTAAAGAGATCGTACCGTCATTCGGGAATGCCTATTGCACCAAAAGTTTTCACGACCTCGCGCATTTCCGTTAAAGTCGTGCGCGTGGAGCCAAGAAGGCCGGGCGAGACGACGAGAGATCAGCTTCGCCGCCGTCGGAAGAGAAACGGCCCGGATCACGCCGGCCCGAGGAGAAGAGGCTCCCGGCTCCTCCATGAGACTTTTCATATCTCTCCACATAATTTTTCTCTTGCGAGAATAGTTAAGCTCTAGAGAGAGAGAAAAAAACCCCGGTAAGTAAAAAAAGTAAAGAGCGGCTCCGTAAATCAGAAAAACCTCTCGACTTTAACGGTCGCACTCGGCGTGATTTCATCCGGAACAAGTGCTGCGTTCATTTTTTCGCCCTCGTTCTTTTTACGCTAGCCATTTTTCGTCGTGATTTAGGTATAATTCGAGCTTCGGAGTTCCTCATTTTTGTTCAAAGACGTTTGAAGTTTGAGCTAAACCTAAAAGTCGAAAAAAAAACAAAAATTAAAAAAAAGAAGAAGAAGAAGAAGAAGAAGGAGAAGAAGGAGAAGGAGAGGTTGAGATGGAAGTCATCTGAGGGCGTTGGCCTTGTCGGTAAAGGAGGAAGGAGGCGGTCGACGGCGTTGAGATGGCGTCGGCAGCCGTGTACAAAGAGACGAGACTTTCACGTCAATTCCACCCCCGCCCCGACCCGGCCCGACCCCCACGCGTGCGGAGAAGCTTCTTTCCCACGCTTGCTCACGTTATCTCCCCTTTTTTTCCCTCTCTTTTTCCCTCTTTTCCCTTTTTCCCTTTTTGACAAAAACCTTAAAAAAGAGTTAGGCAACTTGTTAAACATGCTTACCGGAAGGAAAAATGTTCGATTTTTTTGCGAGTATTGATCGTGTCGTGTCGCGAAGAGAGCCAGGCGCCGCTCGAGAAAACCGTGGTGATATTTTCATTGGTTGATCGTGTAGTAAGGCCTTCGAAAGTGCTTCTCAAACAATCTCTTTTAATTACGACGTGATAAATTTTACTTGGGAGGAAGCGTAAGGGCGTCCCGTGAATTCCATCTAGATGGATGAGGAGTGCGTTGACGACGTGGTCGAACGAGGGCGGGAAACTAACACCGGGGATCAGAAAAAACCAAAACGAGATATGTATATGCAAAACACAGAAACCGATTAAATAAAGGGGTTGTCCGAATTGGCTTTCAGTTTTTACATAATCGAAAGCTTGTAGCTCACCACCCACCGTGACATTTTTCCAATCCAGGACGTATAAAATTTTCGTAACGTATATATAAGTTGACGCGTAAATTTACATGGGTTTTCATGATTCTCGAAATTTATATGGCAGTTTTGAATTTCGGAGAGCGAGTTAAAAAAAAATACAGTACTTTTCGCTTTAAATGATTGTAAAAAACCAAGCCTAAAAACGCCCTATGAAAATTAGTTTGATTTTCACGTTGAAGCTCCCCTTGCTAAACGGGGCACTTTTATGAATTCCGGATCGAACCTTTCCTTTCGCCTCCGGTTGGAAGAAATTTCCTTTCGGCCACGTCTCCGGTCGGTAGATTGCAAAGCACGGACACCGCCCGCCTTCCGGTTTCAGCCGACTTCGCGTTCGGGCGGGCGATATTCATAACCCGAAACCCCATCGATTAAAAAAGGTATGGTCGGAGGAAATTTTCCCGGCTACGGGAATTTTCCATTTACTGAAAAAAAAAAGAAGAAAAAAAAAAGAGAGGGTCTAGAAAGAGAATTTAAAAAATAAAAAATAAAAAAGGAGGAGAGAAGAAAAGCGAAGATAATAGAAGGACGCCAGAGGAATACGTCTTTTGCGTATTCTCTTTTTTTTATTTTTTTATTTCAATTTTTTTCTCGTGCCCATGTAGAAGCGCGAACCCCCGTCCACACTGGTCCGGTAAAAACCGGTCAAATCCTCCGCGTGAACTAACCGCTCCGACCGGTAGCCGGTCGCCCCTGCCCCCCCCCCCAATTTAATGCACCCGCAGCCGGTCCACGGACTCCCCCTTTGCTATTCACACACGAACGGATCCGATTGTTGCCACTCCATTTAAATTCACACCATATAATATAGAGAGAGAAAAAAAAAATCCCTATTCCAAAATATTGGAAATTTTACGTAAACATCGGTTCGAGGACGCCCCGCGTACCCCGGATCGCAGGCCCGCCAAAGCCGTCGACCGGCCGAAACTGTCTCCAATTTCCTTCCGCCCGTGCGATTCCGATTTCAGGTGAGGGGGACCGGAGCTTCGTCGGGCATGATGAGTCCGGTCTAAATATTTTGGTCTTCCTCTTCTTTGTTTTCGTTTTTTTTTTTTTTTTGGTTGTTGTTGGAATTTCGGCGATCGATTTGTCTGAGTGCCTTGAGGCAACCGGCAGATGCCGGTCAAATCTAGGCGGGGGGAACCTCCTATATCCAAGCTGTTCTCCAAAACAGAGGCCACCCCAGCCCCACCCCACCTCTGTCTGTTCAATCCCAATTCAAAAATCCTCTCTCTCTCTCTCTTTCTCTCTCTCTCTCTCTAAACCCTTGCACACCAAGCTAAAAGCTACGGGCTAAAAGCAGCTTCAGCTCGAGTGAAGAAGATGACGATGACGACGACGACGACGACGATGTGCTCGTGATTCATCGCCATCGACACGCACGCATACATATATATGGAAGGGAAAGACCAACCCCATCATCATCATCATCATCATCATCATCAGCAGCAGCAGCAGCAGCAACAGCAACAGCAGCAGCAGCGGAATCAAGATCGGTATCCCCAGCAGAGGAACAGGATGATGATGGAGGCTCCGTCAATGGCGAATTCTCTGTTCCCGGAGGAACCCATGATGATAAACTACAACATCTTCGACATGCCCTGCGAGGAGGTCGAGAAGGGCTTCATGGACCTGCTCGCCATCCCCGACAACTACGACGTCGCCCCTCCCGCCGCCGCCGCCGCCGCCGCAGCCACCATGGCCGCCTCCTCCTCCTTGCTGTTCGATTTGCTCCACCATCACTACCAGCCGCCGCAGCCGCAAGCGGCGGCGGCGGCGGCGCCGTCCCCGCCCTCGCAGCAGCAGCAGCAGCAGCAGCCGCTCCCCTCGCCGGCGTCCACCGTGCCGGAGACGTCGTCGGAGGTGGTGAACAACCCGGCGACGCCGAACTCGTCCTCGGTGTCGCTGTCGTCGAACGAGGCCGCGGGCAATGATGAGGAGGACCGGGAGGCGAACAAGGCCGGGGAAGAGGAGGACGAGCAGAATCAAGATAAGACCAAGAAACAGTGAGTTTCATTATATTTTTCCTTGCTTAATTAATTCGACAAGTTTTAAATTTATATATGTATATATATTACTCCTTTAATTTCCCCTATTCCTTCAGTACTTAGGTGCCCAGAAACAATGGTCCCATGTATATTATTTCTCCAGTACCCTTTTCTTCTCTTTGGTTCATGGTCTGTGGTAGCTCGTGAGTCTTGTTATTAGGATGATAAGATTCCCATTGACATGGAAAAAAAAATATGTTTTTATTTCCTTAAAAAATGTTCGTAGGTTGCTTGATGAATGAGTTCCTTTTCTTAACCTATGCATACATATATATAAATTTATATGCGTGTGTGTCTGTCCGCGCGCATTTTCAGCATGAAATTTAGTGGAGACACACAGACAAGAATCAAGAAATATATGATATGGGGGTCTGCCTCGTGAGTCGTCGATTCATTTCTTTTCTTTTCCTTTCTTCTTTTCTTGTTTCTCCTTTGGCGCAATCTTGGAAAAGTGAATATACTGTGTTTGTTCATGGATGGGGGAGCTCAGGTTGAAGCCCAAAAAGAAGAACCAGAAAAGGCAAAGGGAGCCGAGATTTGCGTTCATGACCAAGAGCGAGGTCGATCACCTCGACGACGGCTACCGTTGGCGGAAGTACGGCCAGAAAGCCGTCAAGAACAGCCCTTATCCGAGGTATCTTTTTGGAAAAAAGAAAAGGAGATAGCTCCAAATTTTCCTCATTTCACACTCGAATGCGCGTTCATTCATTGTTCACACTATAGGAACAAAATAAAGAAGCGCCCGCCCACCATTGGTAGGCACGAGCACCTGAAGGCGTGATAAAAATTTACTCTCGGCGGTCGTCTCTTGTGAAAACTGTTTATAGGGTGCAAGTGTCGTTAAAAGCAGTCTCTCTTTTTTTGTGAATTTAACTGTATTCTGATTTGTTTTTTTGTGTGTGCTTATGATGGAGTAGGAGCTACTATCGTTGCACTAGTGCAGGGTGCGGAGTGAAGAAGAGGGTAGAGAGATCTTCAGACGATCCCTCCATCGTCGTCACCACCTACGAGGGCCAACACACCCACCTCAGCCCCGCTACACAGAAGAGTGGCCTCGGCATGATCCCATCAGAAGCCGCCGCCTCCTACCGCGGCGCTTTTCCAGCAACCGCCGCCTCATTTCTGATCCCAGATCACTATAACCCCCAGCAATTGCAACCCCTTAATGTGCCTTACTCTTTCACTTCACGTCCCTCTAATTTGTGCCTCCTTACAAGTACTACTACTACTACTACTACTTCCGCACCGCCTAGTTTTAGTCCCTCATTTCCGAAGTTTTACGAAGAGAAATGTTTCGTCGCCGTGCCATCATCGACCTCGTCGTCATCGGGTTTGGATTTGGCGACAGATTACGGGCTGCTTCAGGACATTATTGTGCCATCGCTGCTGAGGAATAAGCAGGAGCCAAAAGAGGAGTGACATAGCACACGATGATGATATATGCATGTTCTTTTAAGTTGTGTTAATTTTACTGGTATGTAGTTTCTCTCTCTAACCATTTCTTTCTTTGTAGCCTTATTATGGGGTCTGTATCTTCTCTTTTAGGAGTACCCATTTCACCATTGCATGCACCGGTGCCTTGTTTTGGGATTTTCTCTCTGTAAAATGATTTTACAGTTTTAGCAATTGGAGTTATTTAGTTTTATGGGTACTTTGATTTTGACCTTTCCTTTGGTCATTTGTATCTAAACATGTTATTAGTTATGGAGGCATTCAGTCCTGTATCTTCAACTTTTTGATCAGTTATTTTATTCTTGTTCTTTTTGGTTATCTCCTCCCTTTTCCTCGTCTCTTTGGTTATCAGGTGTGATTAATGGGATTTTATGTTTTATATCCAGTACGACATGAGATTAGTGGTTACAGGTGGTGTTAGATGCATGGCATACATTCTCTTTTTTTTTCACGTGAGGAAATTGTTTCTTTTCTTGCTTTTTTTTTTCCTTTGGGAATTCAAATGCATGCATTCTTGTCATGTTCAAATGTTAGGTAAAGTGTTGAAAGCAGAGCTACTAAACCTTTTTGCAGACCAGATATCGAAACCTTTTTCATGTGACATATTTTAGCGGAGGATATGGGATTAGGGTTTGTCAGCCCGTGGGAGGTTTGGAGATAACTGTTTAGCTCTTTTTTGAAGCATTTTGGGGATTGGTGAGGAAAGTTGGAAATGGGAGATTCAACTTGGGAATGTGTTCTTGCATCATGCATAGTGCAAAAAGCTGGGAATAAACCCTAAAGATGGGATGGTTGTGTGAAAAAGCTACATAGGGAGAGATTTAATGCATATATGCTTTCACAGCTCTCAGACATTTCACATGGACGTAAATAGCTTGATCTCAATAAACCTTTTTAATTAGTTAGATGGCTTTTATTTTATTTTTTTCGGTCACTTTTTTTGTTTCCATTTTCGAGTGATTGCTTGTGGAGGTTTGAGTCATTGATGGGGGGTGATGTAAGCAATATATAGCTAGGTAGGGGGTGGCTTTTCTTTTGGAGGGATGGGTTTGCAGATCTTCTTTTCTTTGAGTGGATGATGTTGGGTTTCTTTTTTTCTTTATACCTTTTGAGCATATAGTTCATGATTTATGCTGGCGTGATGATTCTATATTGGAGTTCTTAAGTCCTTGTCCGCATATATTGTAAGGTCTTTTGCATATGTGTGGTTCTTGAACACTTTTGCCGCTTATAGCCATGCATGGATGACATGGAGCTGAGGCTATGCTCGATGAAGCTTGATGAAACGAAATTTAATGGCCTACTTCATGGAAGCTTAATCTACATTGCTTTCTCCAACCTGTTAATCTTTTGCCATCACGTTGTAACTTTTGCAGCAAAGTTCATATCGATGGGGGAAGATGTCGAACTTGTTTTTTTCTTTTAGAGAATTAGAAGTATTGCGACGTATATTTCTACAGGATACAAGGTGGGTTCTTCTATGTTTTGCCAAAGTATGAGATCTACGATCTTATATCAAGGTGGTGAAGTGATTCGTCTTCATAACTTATTACGACCGTAATAATTCACAATTTATCCCTTTTGTTTTTTTTTGGTAAGGCACAATTTATCCCTTTTGTTGATGTACACATTTGTGTTCTTTTTTCCTTAGGTTAGATATAGGCTATGGATTACAAGCAATAATCTTCATGCATGTGCATGCCTCATTTGGCAATGAATAATGACATTATGGGCATGAAAGTACCATGTAATTAGGTGTTTTTAATAATTGGTGCATATTATCCCAATAACAATTAAGTGATTTCACATGGACTTTCTTCTTTATGCAATAAGCCTACATGTGATGACCGTTCACAAAACACATCTATATATATAAGCAAATAAGGGATAGAGAATGGTGGGAAATCGAACTCGAGACCTTTTGAGTCTCGACAAGAGCAAATCCAAATTAGGCTAGCGCGTGCCTTGTATTTGTCCTGATTTTCTTTTGTCAATCTGTACATTTATCTCATCGGCAGCACCATCTTCGCGGACGTAAAGAAGATAGTCCATGAAAATAACTTTACACAAAAGGAGTCAAACCATGTATATTAGGAAACATATGCTATAGTTGATAAAAATAACAAGATGATATCGCTAACGAATGTTTAATTAAGTGAGACTAACACCCAAAATAGTTTGACTCCTTTAAGTGCCTTATTACAACCTTTAATAGTATGAGCAAAACCCTCGTGTGTAAACGCATCAACAGCAAGTCAAAAAACACAGTACCGTGTGGGATTTGCAGCAAACGACTTGCGTCTCTGCTAACAAATGTGCTCTCTGACAAAAAAGGGAGTTGAATGCTTTCCTGTTTGCTATACTTTTCTACAGCTTGAGATTGACTATATTTGAGCTTCGTAACTTGTGTGCTATATGCTTCTGTTTTTCGAGGCATTGCTTAATTATAGATGTAACTTTTCGTTTTGGTGTCCTAAAGTTGGTTCGATTGCACGCCTTGCTCTTCATTCGAGACTCGCCGTGCCAACTCACAGATTGGTTAAACCCAGTCCAAAAGCTTGAACCATAACCTATAGAAGGGATATGACGTGTACATGAAAGTCTAAATATCTTAGATTTCCAAAGCGCTAGATAACGTTTTCATAATCGAACCGGGATTAAAAAGATCAGTTATCATATAAGCAGGAAAAAGTTGAAGCTTACTTGAATCAAGTGTAAAGAAAAAAGAGGATGTTTCTAAGTAGAGGGTCAGCATAAAGTGAAGTGGTTTATTTCTCTTTTTATAGCAATGAAAAACAAATAACATGCGTGCATATCAATCATCCATTGATTGCTGCTTATAGTCAAAAAGAGATTCCATTAAGAACCAAATACTCAAAGCCTATCTTTTTGAACATATACTTGCGATTATATTCCTGACCCCCCACCTAATAATAAGCTGGCTTTTTTCGTATACACGCAAATGAAAATCAACGACATGTAGTGGGCTAAATGTACAGAAAAGAGACACGTGTACGTGACTATTCTCCCCATGACAGTGAAGTTTCCATCATCTTGTGGATCTGCAGAATCTTTTTGCACATAATTTGATGCTCCGTGCGAAATTCTGAACTGGAAATATCTTGTGAACACATAGTGCATCATGTCTAGGGCATCATGTCTAGGGCATGTGACCACCCTATCACTAGAATGGGCAACGGTGATAAACCCTAGACTCGAAAACCATGTGTGATCTACACAAGCAGACACAAGGAACCTAACCACTAAAATTAACCAGCTTCAGCCCATCTTTCTATTCCATTTATTAATTGGAATATATTTACAGCGCAGTGAAGAGGTCAAAGAGCGTGACAAAGAAACATGGATTGATATGTGGTGGCCATCTTTGTCATTACAGGAGAACTTTGTATTTTGAGCCTTGTTGGAAAAGTATTTATGGGTGCTATTCTCCGCAACAAGGCACGATAACTACTTTCCCAATAGAGTTAAAAGTTAAAACGACCGTTCTATTTTCCACTCTGTGTGTTTATTGTATTGGGAAAGTACAACAGAAATAGGACAACATCATGCGTACATCAATCAGTCAAACCTAGAGACAAGAATACAATAATAGAATGGTAGGCATAATAGTGGTAAGAAAGGATTTTGGATTCGGACTCTTTTGATTTATGCTCTTAAACTGAGGTCATCAATTGGAAAAAAAACCCCCCTTTTTCCTGAATGTTTGAGTCGGAGAAAAATGCCATCACAATGCATACTAAACATATCTTTCAATAGGGTTCTCTTTGTCGAGCTTTCGGGAGGTGGATGGACCTGAAGGACTGATTATGTTGGAAGAGGAATAGATTGTGCAATGCTCCTTCCTCTCATTCAAAATTGTGGATTTGTTGGATCCGCATGCAAGAATTATATGTACGTTACATATGTCACCGAGTCCTTTTTCCGAAGACTATATAAGCTTTCAAATAAATTGTTATCGAGCACGATATCAGAGCGCATATTAAAGGTTTAAATCTCGACACTCATTTTTCTTGTTACGCTATCTCTTTTTATTATTGTTTAAGTTGCTTCTTAGTCTGTTTGACTTCATTATGTCTGATTCTTGCATTTCACGAAAGAAAGCCTAGCTCACACATAATAGGGAGAGGCAAGCTCAGACATAGATGATAGGATCGTATCCTGAAAATTTTATGTTTTTGAGGAAACTAGGGGTTTAACAATGTTGAGATAAAATGAAACGCCAATGCTCTGTTTATTTCGCGGAAAATGAATGATTTGAAAAATATTTTCCTAAAAATGATCTCTTCTATTACTTACAAAAATAAATGAACGAAAATTATCTTTATCCTTCACGACAATGTTTAGATGTAAATTGTTATTGAAGATAAAAACACTTTAAATTAACCAATTATTTCAAGTGAAACAAGCGATTATTCTTAAGGAAAATATTTTCCAAACCATTCATTTTCCGCAAAATAAACGTAGCCTAAAGCTAATTAGTATATCGGCAAAAAAAGATGTTCAGATAAAGGATACTTGATAAAAACAACACTGTTCTAATTCTATTTCTTTCTTTCTTTTCCTTTTGAAGTTTTGTCTATACTTAGAGGTTTTCTCTTAATATATTCAGACAGTGCCAATTTGTCTAAACTCGAGGCGGTGATGGTGGCGGCGGTGGTTGCTGGTTGGTGGGGGATGGGATGGTAACCAATTAATGATTGCTGGCCAATGGAGATGTGATGGTGGTGGTGGTGGTGGTGGTGGTGGTGGTTCACATATGATCCGAACTTTTTTTTTTTAATTCGTGAGGACCCTCCATAACACAAAAGCACCCAAGATATCATAGGATCTTTAGGGGATGTGCTATGGTCAATCATGGGCCAAGCCCGTTAGATCTTCATGGGCCCAATAGCCAACCAAACCAGACATACATGGGCCCAAAATCGTGCGGCCCATTAGTTGGCATCTTGATTGGTCTCCTCTTTTAGGTGCTGACCTAATTATTTGGTCCTTGTATATTGATGTGGCATTAATGTTGTGATAACCCTCGGTGATCGGCCACATTTTTTGGTTGAGCATACATGTAGCTGATATTGACAATGCATACGTCCCTCAATTTGCATTGTTGTGGTACTGCCGTTCAGGGGAGCATGTGAAAAGGAAATTATTCAGAAAACAAATTTGATCACAACTTTTGAAAACTAGCACATCAATAGCAGGTAACAAGAACCCAGAAAGAGGAACTTTCCTCTTCAACAGATCTGTCTGCAACCCAAGTTCAGACTTCAGTCACCCTTCAATGGCATGAATCCTCTCTCTCTCTCTCTCTCTCTCTCTCTCTCTCTCTCTCTCTGAAACGCGCGCACACAAAAAGTTGGAGGAGGGACGTTGCGAAGAGAGGCGGTGTAATGTAAGCAAGCACATGGCATTAGGTAATGTTGCTTGGTACATCAACGGAGACACTTGAGTCACTGACCGTTTCTTGGCATTTGACTATGTCCATCAACCACTCTTCAGTGCCAAAACTGGCCACATTTCGATTTCTTGGCCTCTATATATGTGATGCTATTGCCATCCAAATGATCCCACACCCTCCTCACTTCTATTGCATTCACTCATCCTGAAGGAAGAAACATTAACTAGCTAGGCCATGAGAATGGCCGTGTGTTTGGCTCTTTTCTTGGCAATGCTTGAGCTTAGTGCCGTTGCCCTTTCAAAGTCACCCACCAACTTGCATGATGAATGTGCAGATGATCACAATGCAAGCCCTCTGAGCACCACTTTCTATGAGAACACGTGCCCCGAAGCGGAGGTGATCATCTTTTCGTGGGTCGAGAGGGCAGTCTCTGAGGACCCGAGGATGGCCGCTTCGTTGTTGCGGCTTCATTTCCACGACTGCTTCGTCAATGCAAGTTTAAAATCGATATTGTTGTGGCATTTTCTCTTTTCAAATGTTCAGTCACTTAATGCAAGGTCTTTTTTTCAAAAATTATTTTCAGCGCAGGGATGCGATGCTTCTGTGCTTTTGGATGACATTGAAGGTTTCATGGGAGAGAAGACAGCGGGACCGAACTTGAATTCCTTGAGGGGGTTCGAAGTGGTTGATGCTATAAAATCTGATCTTGAGACTGTTTGTCCTAGAACAGTTTCATGTGCTGATATCCTTGCAAGTGCTGCCAGGGACTCTGTTCTATTGGTACGTTTTCAATCCGAATGGCACATTTAGGTGCTCGGTAATTCATCAAAGTTTCTGACTTGGAAGAGGATTTGTTAAGATGTTACCCTCCAAGCTAATTCCTAGAATGAATCGCAGTCGGGCGGGCCTGGATGGGATGTTCTGATGGGGCGGAGAGACAGCTTAGGCGCGAGCAGAGATGCGGCAAACAACAACATTCCGGCACCGAATTCTACTGTGGAAATATTGGTTGCTAAGTTTCAGAATGCTGGTCTCACCCTCAATGACATGGTTGCCCTATCTGGTATCTTCTCCCGTTTATTATCTGATTACCAAGTCTTGCACATCATTCTCTTCGAGCGTTGAAAATTCACCTTGAGGACTGCTAATTTTTCGGGGAAATAATTAGGCGCAATGATGTAGATACGTAGCATCAACATGTTTTTTCAGGTTATAATTCGGCGCAAGGTGCAGCAACACGGAATTTTTCGTATAGGAGCTTGAGCGATGACTCTTTTTACGTCTTCGTAAATGCTAACATACTTGAATTTAAAAGGATTGTCTGCAAATTTCACACAGGTGCGCATACTATGGGAAAGGCTAGGTGTCCAACATTTAGATCACGGTTCGCAGGCAGTGCCATCTCGACCGGTCCGAAGGTCAATCTGGACTTCCTTCAGTCGCTGCAACAGCTTTGCTCAGGCCCCGATAGCAACTCAACTCTAGCAGAGCTCGACCTGGCAACGCCCGCAACGTTCGACAACCAGTACTATGTGAACCTCGTCTCGGGAGAGGGACTGCTTCAGTCCGACCAGGTTCTTTTTACCGGAGATGGCCGTACGAGGCAAATAGTGGAGTCTTACGCAGTGGACCCCATGACATTCTTCGAGGATTTCAAGCGCTCGATGGTGAGAATGGGGAACCTGGGGCTGCTCACGGGGAAAGAGGGCGAAATCAGAAGAAACTGTAGAAGCATCAACTGACGCTTAGTTCGAATAAACGATGACGATCGATCCATGAATGTTTATCTAGGAAAGGAAAGAGCTGTTAGTAGACAAGAAGAGTGGATTCTTCTAAGACTATAATATGTCAATGTGGTCATGGCCCTGGACCATAGATTAATATTGGAAAGAACCTGAGACGCTTATTTGCTATGAATTGAGTAGCTTGCCAAGCTTCTCGGCCGAAAATTGAATTTGACAGTGGTCTGCATAACACCGGGCGTGTATTACTTAAAAGAAGGGTAAAGATGCCAAGTTCGTAACCTAGGCAACAAAAAAGGCGAAAATTTCGATTCAACCACAGAGTTTATTATGCAGTTATCCACGGCACACGGGCTTCTCATCGAAAGCCAGCAAAGCGAGAACCTTTAAAGGATATAGAAGAAAATATGCTACATCAATCATCGGTAATTACAAATTTTGCTGGCTGATCTATCCTACCATCAAGTACAAAAACATTACGGCATTCTACATGCTGCGACAATTTGCTGGGACCGCCTTATATTTTGCTGCTCCACTTAGGTACCTGCAGAAGCATGATGTCCACATTCGTCAGCAACGGGCACCAAAATCTCACGTCAAGCATAACAAATACTGCCAGATTATGCGAGTGTCGTTCCCTCATATAAGGAGCTTTCTTTGGGTACTCTCGACCTACATTACCCACCTCACATGAGCCTTTACATCATGTGGGTCTCACATGAGGGCTGACGTCTCGCGTTACCTACTAATTTTCCCTCATCGACGGGGTTGCTGCAGTCCTCACAGAATAACTAACTTGAAATAATGAGATCTGGAAGCATCATCATTCCTCCCAGATTACAGGTGCATGCAACTGTTTATAAATGATTTTCTGAAATTTTCCGGGACTAGGAGGCTGGTAGGGCACTAATCTACTTTTAGTCGATAGGACTAAAACAGAGGGAGGTACCCTGTAAGGTTACTATGGCCAAAAATGACATTTTAATTGGAGCTTCACCAATTCTCAATTTACAACACAAAATTTGCTCAGCATTCATAAACTGCCACAGTTTCCAATTCCAAATAACGCTGAACAGGATAAAATATGCCAAAGAATTATCATTATGGACAAAGCAGCTCATTGAGAACTGTAATTTGCAGGTTAATATTCGACTCCTAGAAGCTGCAAAGTCTTCTTAATTTCCCTATTTCACGGTTGCTTCTAGAGTTTCTCTTGATTATTTCACTAGTAGGCCTCATTTATAAATTGCACAAGTAAAATTAAAGGACAACCTGTTGACTTATTCTTCAGCATCCATTGCTGAGCAGCCTGAAAACCCTGGCACAAATTGGCAAAAGTAAGAGTTACTAATGGTAGTTACTTAGAATATGCGGGATCTCGTAAGCACCAGATACCTGCTGGAAGCGAGCTGGATCATTTACTGAATTAGCTGCTGCTTGATATTGTGAATAACCAAGTTCCTAAGAAGCCAAAATTTACAATAAGAACCACTGAGCAAGCTGACTGAATAGGTGCAGCAGGCAACTCCAAGTGGAAAATCCTAAAACAATTGCTAGGACGGAGACATCAAAAATTGGATGTCCATTTCATTCAATTTCTCATTTTAGCTCTAAAATCCCTCTTGCCTCTCATTTCCTGCTTTATAAAGTGTATCTGCTGGCTTCTATCAGAAAAGTAAAAAGTGCATATCTTATGTATCTTTCTTATGGCCACACAACACCGTCTCATCTCAAGCATCTCTATGTGGTAAGTTTACTCAACATGTTCAAACTGACCTTTCTAGAGCTTTGATCAGCCTAAAATAATTATAGTTCAAAACCTGAAGAAGGAAAAACCTTTATCCGTTCAGCATATGCCAGTTTTCACACATTTAATTCTCTTTTTATATCTCACAAGAACTACCAATTGCAAAACAAATTAGGTAATCATAAATGTGAAGTAAACAGCTTAAATTGTTAAAGCACAAGTACAAAAAAGAAATGATAGAATTGCCTAATTGTCAAAGAACACGGATTGAATTAGCTGTTGATATGTATTTAACTATATTTTCCATTTAGGTTTAAGATATTTAGCCCATAGGTCAATTTACCCAGTTTAAATATTCTATATCTGAAGTTACTCATATACTGATGTAAAACTGGTAGCGGAAAACACCATTCTTTCTTAAATTTTGTTATTCGAATACTGAGACACACTAATTTAATCATTCATAAAAGAATTGAGATGTTCATTTCTCCCCTTTCAGAGACTTCATAGAATAGACCTTATTTTCAGAAGTCTAATGCGTAGCACAACCGAGAAAGCTATTCCCAGACATAAATGAGAAACTACTAAGCTGCATATTGTAAACAACTGTAACTGAAGTAATCATCAATCCTTAAATAGTGATCATCATTACACCAGCTTGCTCAGGCAGAACATCAAATATGGTGTCATAAAAGTGTAACTGGAACACAACTTCCACGAGAGGACATATATTTACCTGAAAATTATGGTGACTTGGCAGCCCAGAAGCCTGATACTGTATTTCCACACGAGAAAATCAGAAATAGAGGACTAGATGATATGGAAATTTGCAAGTATGGAGAGAAACCCAGATAACACTGACCGATGAAGACAATAGAGGCTGTTGTAACAGCTGCTGAGGTAGCTGTCCCTGAAGTTGAGAATGCTGCTGCGGCTGCTGTGTTTGTGCACCCTGCTGAGTAGGCAACAGTTGAGGGGGTTGGGCATGAGTTAGCTGAACTGATGACTTTGGTGGTTGCTGCTGCTGTTGCTGCCTAAATATTTTCAACTCCTCAGGCTCCAACCACTACAGCGAGTACAGTAACATCATTCATATAAGTTGCAAACTAGCAGATGATGACAGAACATGCATAAAAAAACAAGAGCAAATACTCACCCTGCTTTCTCCAGTTACACAATTATAATAGTACTTAAATCCATCCGGCGATGTATGCTCTGTCCAAATACATTTTACAGGAGCAAGATTCGGAGTCGATACAGGTATCACAGGTGCAACGGATGATGATGAAGGCACTTCTGCAGCTGTTGTAGTTGTTGACGTGCTTACCACTGGCTGCTGTACATTATTGTTCCACTGAGGCTGCAAAGACAAGGATATGCTCAGAGTTTGAAGGCGCCCAAAAGCATTTCAAAGCAACTGAAGATCATCAAGATAACTTCTCTATGAATCAGAACAAGGCAGTTAGTAATGTTGAGATATATTAGAACTCGAACTCTTGAACCTATACTGGGATTCAACAACAAAAAAGTTGCCATTACAGCAGTTAGAAGTCTGGGTCAAGGTGTATCAACATCTACGTCCAAAGAATCAAATAAGCATCCCATGTCAAACCGCAATCAAGAAACTTTTCTGGTTAGAGAAATCACTTCACAAGTAGCTTTACCGCATTTACCAAGCAAAGCCTCTCCTAACACAGTTTCTTCATCAACATTGTTGATGTCCAAATACATTACCGGCTCCTAGCAAAAGCCAAAACTAAACTCTCTTCTAATCAGGTCATACCTGCTGATTTGTTGGCAGAGCTTGTTGTGGAACTGCATTTAGATTCGATGGATGCATCATCTGCACTTGCTGCTGCAGCTGGGAAAAAGCATGCTGAGATGATTGAAAACTAGCCTGCAAGGCCTGTGTCTGCTGTGACAGCATCTGAGCCAACGGTGATGGGGACTGCTGAAACGACTGAAGCAAGTGCTGTTGACCAGGAGCAGGCACTTGCGGTTGATTAATTGTACTAGGCCGAGGCTGGGATAGCAAATTCATATTTAAAGGGGCTTGTTGTACTGTCACAGAGGAGGCGGTCTGCTGGGCAGCAGGATGAGTAGCAGTTAACTGCCCGCTTGAACCAACCATTGGCTGTGATGGCAGTGGTCGGCTGAAAGGTGTCGCGAGAGGAGGACTTTGCAGCTGGTTTAATTGCCCTGACATTGCATGAGAAGTTTGTGTCTGCGTGTATGATGTTGAAGGTTGATTGTGTGATAGAGAAGGCAGTGACTGCTGAGGTGACTGAAGAGACTTTTGTAAAGGTGCTATTTGCTGACCCATAGATGGGAACTGTTGAAAAGACTGATAACTCTGCAAGAAAGAAGGAGAGTACATTGAATCTCAATAAGAGTAAGGTGGCAAATTGGACAACAACCCATATGTAAAAGGCGTACTTGACACAAAGTGGAGCACAAAATATAAGCAGCCTTAAATAACAAGACAAGACACACTTAGTGTCATGAATTATCACATTTTCATAGCAAGTCAATTCAATTAACATAATACACGAAATTTATGATATTTTAATGCTAATACAAATTAGAAACACGACCACAAAACACTGACACCAATTGCCAGCTCCAATAAGGAGGGTCAATGTGAGGCAAATTGTTTTAGTCATTCTTCTTCCTGTACCTGTTGTGCCATAGACGAGGATGGAGCTGCCGGTGAAGGAAGAAGACCATCTGTTGGCACGCTAGGACCCCCCAAGGAAATGTTCTAAAGTACAAGGAAGTGGAATTGTGGAGATTAAACCAAGTATAAAAAATTAAATACCCATGAACCACAAGTAAAAAACTCATGCAAACTGTAAACAGATGATAGGCAGGCTATCATTAATAAATCTAAAACAAACACTGATAGTTGCATAAAAACGGTTCCATTCAGAGAGGTCACGGCCCAAAAACTGTGAAACATAAAGCATTTCTAGTAGTTCTTGGGGATAAGTACCTACTACCCACTCCTTCCCTAAGGTGCCATTTTGCATGCAAACCAACCAAATATAAGCTACAATTTGTACCTGAAATAGTAGCCCGCCTTTGTCTTGAGTCTTGACAAGTAAATTTTAGCCTTTCTGAAAACTAAGAAATTCACAAACTGACACCATTCGAGTTATAACCTATTAGTGCTTTTCACATCCTATGATTTCCGTATCAGCTTAACTTGACATCAACCAAAAGTTTTCATGTCAAACCGATCAAAGAACCATTTGAAGGAAGCAATAAAAATCTTCAATAACAATGAGGTTATACTGCAAGCTAACGATATTTTTCTATCATCAGGAAGATGTGTATGCTCCCAGCTGGACTCCACGAATTTCTGAAAACTCCTTTTATTCTTTTTTATGAGATCTCATTTGCTAGCTCTCTTTTGTCTTTAAGTTTAAGGTGAGAGGAAAGCGGTAACTTCATAAGAGAAGGAAGGAGATGAGCGCCTTATAGAAAACTTGATCTATCTGCCCCACCATTTGCCTTTCGCCCATTCTGAATTCCACCTTCCTATTCAGTTACTACAATTACTGACACCCATCAACCTAGCTCCCGTTTACCTTGCTCCTTACAACCTGTCATCCACCTAAATATAGACAAAACTAAGGTAGTATACCACTTGCCTTTTCAAGATAGCTAAGCTAGACACTAATTCGTTTGCCGTTGCCTAGGTTCACACTATAAATTAAGAGGAGCTCTAAGGAGATGTTTCTCCCATTAAGGATTCCAAGAACACTCTAGACCTTCGTCATGATCGAATAATCTCACCGATCTTTCAAATTAAGGTTAAAGAAATAATTAGCTAAATATCACCTCCATAAATAGTGTCATCTCTTGACCAAAAATAAAATAAAATAATGTCATCTGTTAAACTTAATGTAACTAATGATTCCCCAAACGAGATTGAAAATGTAATGGGTGTGCTTTGAACTAGCATTCACTAGGATGGACAAAAACAAAAAGTAGTTTTCTTGAGAAGAGAGATATTCTTACAGGATTTAGAGGCTTAGATACATCACCAGACTTGGGATATAACTGACCACCAAAATTGGGATGGCCTGAAAATGATGATGGCCCTAGGTTCTGAGTATTCATTGGATTCCAGGCACTTGGCGCAATCCGATCACCCACAGTGTCACTAAAGTTGGGCTGCCCTCTGCTGAGAGCAAACACAAAGGTAGAGTTACACAAATATGAAAATGAAGAAGAAGAGGAGGAGGAGGAGGAGGAGCAGGAGGAAGACACAACTTATAATGCTGGACAATACAAGGGAAGAAGAAGGGAGAAAAGGAGACCTTAGTTCTGGGGCCTGAAAACGAGGACCGAAGCCTGGGCCTCCAAAAGCAGGACCACCCTTGGAACTAGTTTCAAAAGTGGTCGAAACATCAGAAGAGAGTAAAACAGTGGATTTACCTAACTATATGGTCAACAAAAAATTGCAAATTGAGCAATAAGGTAAACAACCATTTTAAGTAATGCCCAAAATGAAAAGATCAATGAACAGGCAGATGACGAAAGAAACTAAAGCTGCGTTTGATTCAGCTTTCCCAAGGGACTTTGGCCTCTAAAGTCCCTTGAGAGAAAACTAGGCCATTTAGTAAAAATTTTTTGGAGAGCATTGAGTGAAAGCCAGCAAAGGCAAAGCTGAAAGCTCAAGTTTGGGATCTGCCTTGGGCTTTCAGCATTTTCAAAAGGAAGCACTCAGGATTAATGAACTTTTCATATTCCACTCTTGCCCTCATAAAAAACTGTTCATCTTCTCCAACATTGCAGATTTGGGTCATCGGTGAAGCTCTACCAAGAGTTGCACGACGCTAGCAGACTGTTGCAGACGGTCGCCGAGCCTCGTCGACGGTCAAAGTTCTGTTAGGCGAGATCTAGAGGGTCACGACTCAGGCGAGACCAAGTCACCGAGGTCGATGGTCGCCATTTGGACCATTGCCGAGGCCAAGGCTTGCTGGGTCGCTTGAGGTCACGCAACCCCAGAGCCCTCACCTGGGCTTGCAACGGCCCTCTGCTTCCATGCAAGGTCACGCGACCTCAAGCCCTCACCTGGGCTCACGGCAGCCCTCTGCTTCCACAATGGAGATGATGAACAGTAAGCCATTTGTTTTTTGTTTTTTTTTAATATCAAAGCTACTTTGCAAAAAAAATATACCGAAAGTCATTAACCAAACGATATTTCCTTTGACCAAATACACATTGAGCCAAAGATCTTCAGGGAAATGAAAGTCATTTCCCCAAAGCTCTCCCAAACGCAGCCTAAAACCCCTTTCTGAATAAAAGCAAAAGGAAAAAGAACAAACAACAACACTGTTTGCCAAGGAAGTAGTAGAGCTTAATGGGAACCTTGTATCACCAAGCCGAGGCCGCTTAGGATCAGCAAATCGAACTGTTAATGGCTGATCACAACCCTATGACCAGAGCAAAAAATGATGAGAATATTCACAGCTGGCAAGACTAGTCTAAACCATACTTGACCTGATAAAGCATGCTTACTCTCATTGTATAGTTTCCATTCAAAGCATTTATAGCTGCCAACGCCATATCTCTATGAGAGTACTTGACAAATCCACAACCTTCAGATTTAAAAAACTGGTTATATATTGATAACTTGACATAAAATAAACCATCAAAAGAACAATGAAAACATGCCGGTTGCCACCCTTAGCAGGCACAAGCAATCATTTGGTTGTGATGACTAAATGAACCAGTTTTACAGCCTTCAGGCACTTTACAATCTCAAAAGACAATAAGTTTTGCTTATCAAATATATATGAAAACACTCGGAAAACCAACTATATTACAACAAGAGAATGTTACATCTTTGATCCATTAAATAGATATCATACAGGATTGGTAAATGCATAAGAAAAAGCTGCGGTGGCATATTAAGCAGAGAGATTCTTCAGATCTACCAGAATGATCTTTCAATAAGTAACATCATTAACAATCAAAGGGCAGATATCTATGCAGCAGGAAGGCAGCCCAAATCAACTGAACATATGTCTAGTATATAGTCTTTCAAATCTAAAAGAAGATAATAGACGCACCACGACTCTGCTTCATTTCATCGCGCATGAGATAAACGTCCTCAACTCGACCATATGGTGAGAAAATCTGGCAGGCATCACATATAAGTAGAAATATTCAGTGGCTCCCATATTTAATATAAACTGAAAAATATTAATGAAACAAAAGAAGGCACATAGGAATAAAACCAAGCTTTCAGGATATGCCTAATCCTCCAAGTAAGAGACGGCATTTCATTAAATTGCTATGGAAGAACTCCTTTTATACAATCAAGCACTCGACATAGAAAACAGGAGAAACAAAAAAGGTTGTCAATGTGATCTAAGCATTTAAAAGCTGAAAAGAATTGTATTCGCGTACTTCCTCCACTTCTTTTACAGTGGCCTGTTTGTTTAGAGAACCCACGAACAGCTTGTACTCAAACGCACCTATTACAGAAGAAAGCCTCATCAAGACCAGCAACAACAATGCTTCCAGATAAACAGGACCTCAAAAATCACAAATATCAACATTATGTCAACACCATTAACAGAACACCAATACACCCATGTTCAATTCATTCTAGAATGTGTCCCTCACTCTACTTGATTGTTCACAACAGCAGCCCGCAAACTAATAAGCATTCTTTATCCTTCATTTAAATTGGTAGAAATATAGGGTCACCTATCACATTTTATGTAGATTGAAATGTGGGATCAGTAGACCAACATGAGATTCAGATCATACTTCACCAAACAGGTCTTATGTGTACATTGTTTTGCTCAACTATAGAAGTGTCAATATAACTTCCAACACTTTCAACAAGAATTACAATTTTTTAAGTGTAAAGAATGAAAATTTAGCCATCCATATCTGTAAACAAGCAAAACCTTGCAGATTCAAATAAACAATGCATCCGACTTCCATGAGAAACCATAGAGGCATTTACACTGTCATCACAACAGTGGTTTGCCTTGTCTAGGGAGTAAAAATCAAGGAACAAATGTTGCTCTGAGTTTCTGACAGGTAGCAGCCTAACTGCAAGACATTACTAAACTTGACCTAGTTATGGTCACTTTTAAAAAGATCTAGATTGCTTTAACCACGAAACAAACCCCAAGTCAATTCTTACTAGAAGATCCATCACATGAATACTTTAACTTCACACCCATCTGGACTACCGAATCTCTTATACTAAAAGGAAGTTCACTAATATTTGAAAGCCAGATAAGTCACATATAAAACTTGAAGATCAAAGAAAAATACCAAGTCGTTCTCGTTCTCCATCAGCATATCTAACTTGAATTGGACCAACTCCCTGAAAAAAACATATTGAGAAGTTCATTAGACCCCCATTCATTAAAGATTAGGCAGCAGAAAAAATACTCACCCCTGGAAGTGTGTATTGATTGTGTAAAGCTCTAATGGCCTTGTCAGCTTCCTCAGAGGTTGCATACTTGATAAAACAACATCCTGCATGAGCAGAAAGATTATATCCTGACAATGAACCCCTCTACCGATTGCAAGTGCATTTGGCACCAATATATTCGGTAATACAATCCAGTGAGAAAATCAATTTCCCATCCTCATCAACTTCACTATAATATATAAAAAAAGTAGTTGACAAGAAACAAAGCAAACCCTAAAGAGCAGAATTATTTGCATAATTCGGTTGCTCGAGCTAAATATAAGAGAACCGCAAACCACTCAAGCAATCATTAAAGCTGCTAGACAAATACACTTAAGCATATCCAGCGATGCGTCCTATAAATATGAAAGACATACACCACAAAAGACAAAATACAACCAGGAAGCCATAAGCCTAAATATCTTTAGAGGAGATCAATGCTACTGCTCAATCTTAGCTGTTAGCTCTAATAGCAGTATGACTTCAACACCGCCAATGTCAGTAGAGATATTGTTTTCCTTATCGAACAAAAAAACACAGAAAATTTAGGTTTTATACCCTTGATTCCACAACCTAGAATCACGACATAACCATAGCTCCATGAAGATACAGAATGTTGCTTATGTATATGACACTAAATTGATGAATGTAATGATATCCCATCAAGCCACCACATAATTGTAAAGGATCACACCTACTCCAAAAAAAATAGCCCGTGACTTGAAATTGCATGTCCAATCATTCTACAGCGCATCACTGTAATACCTCTTGGTTGGAGATGATGAACAAGGCAAAGAGATCCATTCATGATCAAAACATATAAGTGTGATATTCATTGCCAACTCTCTGGAAATAGAAAAGAGCACAGAGTTCCAAGCCAAGCAAGGCCTTGAGAAAAATCAGGACGCGATCCTAAGGTCAAGCTAATGCCATTCGGAGAACATTTAGGGCTGTAAACCCAGGATTTGTAATTATACAAGACTATTTCTAATGATCATACGAAAAAAATAATCACATCTAGCTAATGCCTCCAGCACAAGTGATACCTGAACTTCCATGAATTTGGAAGTTGCAAAAAAAGACCTCCATCAATTTCCCCATAACAACACAGAATATCCGCTCGAATAGGAAAGAACCATCACGCAAACAACACAAGGTGCTGTTGTTAAAGTCACTGTTCCAGATAACGGCAATGATGCATCTCCTATCATCTTAACCCCATCTGATGATCTAAATGTACTTGAAACAAATTGACTGGCCAAAATTATGTACTAGGAGTCAGTTTCTACTTGCCAGTCACAAAACTAGCCTTCTATGTTTATAAGGCTCCAAAACTCTCCAACTTTCAGGTTCCTATGCCATTTGTACGCAACACAAACCAGCGGATCTATCCAGAAGATTGATGAACATATAACAGAAAGACTTTAATCAACAACAACAATTCCATTTGATTGCGCAACTCACTATAGCGAGTTATATAACTTCGCATGTGATCAAAGTAATATCCATCCGGCTTAGTTTCACAGAATCATGGAGCCATGCACATGAAAGTGATTCAACCTGGTTCTGTAACCAGAGCACAAAACTTTGGTCCAGTAGGAAGCAAAGAACAAATGAGATAACAAGAAAACTGATGGTCACCAAGACCGCTCACTCTATACGTTCACTACAAACCACCATCGTGATGCTTATAGGCTAATATAGCGCCATATCTCAAATACAAACCTAAGAAACCAAACCAAGGACAACACAAGTGCATAAGCTGGAAACCGCAGTCCCACCAGTAACCATCACACCAAGCCAATCACACCATCAGAAAACTTAACACTCTCAGAGAAGCTTTCTAAATATCCTCACAAGGAAAGCTATCATATCACCTTGTAGGAGTTGCACCCGGAATATATATTATCAATCATCGGCACTGACAAAACACATCTAGAACTGATTAAATATCACATATTCAAAACTGACAACAAAAAAAAGTCGAACCTTGGTTCAAACAACCATCAACTACTCGGTACAACAGGAGTTGCTTTGATGAACCAGACATGTCAATCAAGAATGTAGATGAGATAGTTAACTTATTCATTTGACTGTCGATCAGCAATCCATATAATACAGAAGGTAACTCAACCTTTCATTCATACAATAGCACTCCAAATAATCTCAGCCAAGCCCCACATCATGTCAGAAGCCTCAGGTCTGAAATGTACTATACACATAATCCCCTCCCAACACCATGTGATTGAAACCATGATAACAGGATATAATCCTGTAACACCATGGCAAAAGGACAGACATTTAACAAATCACCTGCTTACGTACAGTTCATGAGACCACAACTATTTACCAAACACATTTCACCTCCCATGTAGTCATTCATAACATTCATAACAACAAAGAAAGTCCACCATTAGTTTATCTCATCTAGTCACGTAACAAGTAATGACCATTCCAAGTCATTTGAAATGGATAGTTCCAAACTTCCCAATGAAAACTCAGGTTACTCATACACTAAATTTATTAGCATCTGGCCATCAGAAATACTCAATTGTCATTGTTTGTACAATTTGACGCAACCACTGAAAATCCTAAAGAGCTACAGCAAGGAAAAAGACCATCCTATTAAAAAAAAAGAAAAAAGAAAAACTCGCTGGTCAAGTCCCCATCGCTGCAGCCTCAGTTAATAGAGCAGAAGTTGTCTTCCACTTCCAACAGCTATACATATATTGACTCATACTCCTTACTCTTCGTGTTTGATAACAGACATAAAAAGGCGTTCTCAACCAAAACCAAAAGCTCGTAACTTCTTGCAAAAACAAACTGAGATGAAAGATGAGCTCACGGATGCTCCCATCAGCCTCTCAATGGACCTGGAAAGAGATAGGAATGCTCGCGATCATTTTACTAAAATAGCACCTAGTACCTTGCTGTAGTCCCGTTCTCTTGTCCTTAATCATGGCAACTTCTATAACGTTTCCATGTTCTTCAAACAACGGGCGAATCTGATATTAAATAAGCAAATTTTAGTGCAAAAAAGGAAATAAAAAACACAAGCATGCAAGTATTTATTGTGAATTTAGGGTTGGAAGATGCAGAGTGGATAATGATGTCAAAAAATTGAGGTGCATGTGTGGGTAGGGATTTGGAAGCACATACAGCAGCAATGTGATTCTTCAAAAGTAGAAATTCCAACGAGTGGGAAATGGTAGGAAAGCTTTGTCGTGGGATGATAGATAATGCAGAGACAATGCCTAAGAAATGTGTTTCTTGATTTGTTTGTATTAGCAAGGAATAGAGAGCTAAGGTGGCTAATATTGGAAGGCTAACAATGGAGAAGTGGTGCAGGAGATTGTTATTTTATGTAGGCTTCAACATTAGAGCTTGAAGCTTTCTCTAATTTTTATGAGTAGTCATATCAAATGATGCTAGATGTGGTAAACAGCAATAGTCAACAGTGGAATTGTTTTTTCTTTAAGATTAAACAAAACTATTTATAAAGGTACTGAGAGGGTATCGCCCCTATGCAAAACGAACTCAAAGGGGAAGTCTTCCATATACAAAGATTAAGAACAAGAGACCATTTCTATCATCTACGGTGAGCTATAAGTATGATACAACTTTCCCACTATACCAAAAGCTAAGAGTATGTAACCACTTATCCCTAAAGAGGTCTCAAGAAAATTTTCCACCTTGACAAACTCTGTTTTTCTCTTTCCAAATGAGCCAAAAAACGAGGATTCTTCTTTTTGTACTTCTGATTCTATTTTGTCAAGTTGTACTGCTCTATTACCATCTCCACTCATCTGTAGGTACAATAGAACACTCTCACCCCTCAGAAATACTCTCCTGACAGTCACTTTTTTTCTTTTGGAAAGCAGCTTCGGGATATATTCACTTTGAATAGTCTTCAAAGAAAGGGAAAATGCCACTGCTAAGATTTTTTGGCGCAAGAATGCAAGAGAGAGTGTGGATCACTCGTTATTACATTGTAATTTGACAGTACAAATTTGGACTACAGGCCACAGCAATTGCAGTTTTAGGAATAAAGTGGGTAACATCAAGCATGGTACAACACGAACTTCGAGCTTAAAGAGGTGCCATTAGTTATATGTCTGGGAAAGAGCAATCTATTGAGATGATTCACCTCCTAATCCTCTTGGGGTTCTTCTGGGGATAATCTATTATACAACCTTCACTTTTGGTATAGCAGAAAAGTTCGATTACATATATCTACTTTGTTGGAAATGTTAGAAGACAGGTGGAAAATGTGCTGAAGGAGTTTTATATAAGGGTGATGCCACTCTGATACCTTCTTGATAAAATTTTGTTTTATCATTAACAAAAGAAAGAGATTACTTGTTAAAGCACTACCAAACAAAGTGCATGTATGCTGTAATCCGCCAATTCCAAAACTCAATTTAAGTAGCATCACATAGAACAAGTCATCAAGGTGTGACTTACATCTTCCTCAGTGGCACTCCTTGGAACTGATCCAACAAAAAGTTTAGCAAAAGCAGCTCCATCGAAATGATCTAACAAAAAGAGGGAAAAAGGGTCAATCCACAAGAGCATTATCAAAAGCCAAAATAAAGAAACGGAATAGTTATTCAAATAATATGTTTGAGTTTGTCTGAAAGGTTACAAAACATATAACCTAAAAGAATGGAAAACGTAACACAAAGGCATAAGAAAGAGTCAGAACGATCCTGCAAGTCACATGCATCACCACAACATTTGATGCAATGGAATGGATCTTGATCTAGATCTAACTAAACAAGGGATGAGTTGAATGCAATGAATATAACAAGAGGATGTCCTTTCCATTCATAAGTTTTGTCACATTAAAGGATAAATGAGAGAATGAAATGATGACTCTCATTACGGTAGTTGTTTCAAGAATCAGTAAAATATAAGGAAAGGGAAATTAGCATCGTAACACCTAAGCACCATGCAATGCAAAGCATAGGGCAGAGGATATTTTTTCCTATAAGGTAATAAATTATTGGAAAAGGAATTCGAGTTCCAGTCCAATAACTCCATGCAAATTATTCACGTGAAAATAGGAATGAAATTATTAGCAGGTGACAAAACCATCTTGAACTCATTCTTGCTCACAAACATGGCAAAGGATGAAAACTGTCAAATTCTAAATGAACAAAGACAGTGATTTTGCAGCACAGGAAGAGGCTAAGCGTGGATCGAGTTGATTGGGACGGTTAGCTTACAATCTGACACATGCAAGACATGCAAGGGATGATGCAACAACTGGGACAATGGATCTACATAGAGAATCAGTAGATAAGAAAGCAGTCAGAATACTGCAGTGACAAAATTTAAGATTCAGTAAGGACAATAACGATAAAGTTGAGAAGTCAGTGAGACTGATTGCAGATGTATCATTACTCCCAATGCTTTCTTTTTCATTATCTACCAGCAATTTGCGACTTTATCAGAAGTTCCACAAAGGAGAAAGAAATAAATGGAGATGTTTGATAACTAATTTTGATTATACTATTATCAGATTTCAAAGAGCAGCAAAAAAGAAAATGACGGTTCAGAAAAACAAACACCTATGCCAAGTAAGTTGGAGTTGATATGCATGCTTCCAAAAATTTCCTAGTAGAATGTCCCTGCCCAAGAATAATTTCCCTGGTTACTTTTCAGAATGACAGATAGCCCGAGCTAAGTATGCCTCTTTGTAACTTAAATTCTCTTAAATGTAATGATTACCAGCTTAACCCTCTTTTAAAAATTTCCTCCGGAGAGAACGTTCAAATAAGAAATAAAAAAATGCCTTTAGGTACTTGATGCTGATATCGGGCATCTAGAGCATTTTTTATACTCTAATTGATTGATCCGCTCCGGTTCTCTTAGGGTTTCATCTGGAGACCTATACATCCCAACTTTTCTTTCCATTTGGCCAAAGTGAGAGAGATCAGAGATCGCTAAACAGCCCGGCAACAGGTGAAGCTGACCAGGTTACTTCAAATTAACTATGTGATGCAACTCAACTTCCTCGTTGAAGATTTAGAAATTGAAGAAGAAATGCCCCCCTAATCAAGAGCATCCCATTCCTGAAGCTAGAACTAGCAATCCACCACACAGGAGATTCAACATAGCAGGATTATCGCACGAAAAAACATCGAAACACAATGCTTAAGCATACCATTATTCGATAAGAAGAAGGTACGCGGAAAAGCAAACCGAATCAAATTGGCTAAGCCAAAAGTGATCAAAAGCGAAAACGCAAAAAAGGAAGCGTGCATAGCTGCAAAGTGCAAGCATCCCCCCACCAAAAAATTAACACCGAAGCTTCAAAAAAAATTTCAGCTTTCGAAACACACCCGGATTAGGAGATCCTCCTCCCCTGCCAGAAAACCCCCGCTTCTGCCCAGCCAGGGGAGGCGGCGGCGGCGCATCGTAGCCCTGCCCGAACCCTCTCCCCCCGCCCCCGCCGCCCCCTCCGGCGCCCCTGTACCCGTCGCCGCCGCCGCCCCGGCCGCCGGCCGCCCGGAATCCGCCGGGGCCCTGCCGGGGCGGGCTGTCGAAAGGTCGGTGGCCGCCGCCGCCCCTCCGCCGCCGCCGCCGCGGAAGCTGCCGGGGCTGCGGCGGCCGCGGTGGTTGTTCACGGGGCCGGCATCGGAGAAGCGGGAGGGGCCTCTGGATTGGCGGTAGCCGTGGGGGGCGTCCTGGCTGCTGTTGCCGCTGCCGCTGCCGCTGCCGCTGTTGCCATAGCGGTCTCCCCTGTGCCTATCCAGCTTGACTACCGTACTGCTCCGAGAGGGTGCAGAGGACGAAAACCCTAACCTGGGAGCTCGAATCTTCTTCGATGGCGGAGGAGGTGAAGGAGAGCAGCGAAGAGCGGAGCTGCTCGGAAGGAGAGAGAGAGAGAGGGAGAGACGGTGGTGGTGGTGGTGGTGGTGGTGGTGGTGGTGGTTCCGGTCAATGCTAAGCGACGACGCGACTGTGTTTTGGGGGGGGGGTGGTGGTGGTGGTTCTGGAGGAGAAGCCCGCCGCTGGGCTTTATGAACGGATGGGCCGGACATGGGCCGACGGGTCCGGGCCGGTCCAGGCTCATGGGCGGCGTTTCGGCCCGCCCCCACGATTGATCCGTGGGCCGACCCAAGCGGAAATGGCCCGGAATCGGGGTGAGCATCGGTCCTGGACCGACCTTGGACCAGCCCAACCCTGCCGGTCCTGGTCCGGTTCCCAAGGAGACTGGGTCGGTCCTTGGTCCTGGGATCCCTGGACCAGCACTGTGCGGATTGGTTCTCGGTCCAGGTAATTTAGGGTCGGTCCAATCCGGACCAACCCAGACTATATATATTATATATAATATATCTAAAATATATAATATATATTATACATTTAATATATTATTTATAAATTTTTTTTATGTAGAGAACCCAAGTGAAACTGTGAAATGGCGTGAAAAATTGACCAAAAAAGAAAAGACGAGAAACAGCTCTTACGCGTCCAAAATGGCGTTACTCACGGCGTCATCCTCCGGTACTTAACAACTTCTTCTCTTTAGTCTTCCTTGTACAGTCTCTCTTCAGTCTTTTTTCACGCCTCTCACGCGTCCAAAACAGCGTTACTCACGGCGTCCTCAGTCCTCCTCTGGTACTGACAACTTCTTCTCTTTAGTCTTCCTTGTACAGTCTCTCTTTAGTCTTCAGACTCTTCACTTTGCCAAAATCTAAGAAAAAAACTTCCCACTCGCCCCGTTCGGCGCTCGCCTCTGGCCGCTCGAAGCTTGCGCCACTCGCCTTTGGCCGTTCAAAGCTCTCACCGCTAGCCGCTCGCGCCCCGTTCAGCGCTCGCCTCTAGCCGCTCGAAGCTCACGCCGCTCGTTGCTCACCACTCGCCGCTCGTCACTCACCACTCGCCGCTCGTCGCTCGCGCCGCTCGCCTCACTCGTCGCTCGTCGCTCGCCTTATCTTAAATTTGTTAAATACATACTGGTATTTATAGTTTGGTTGTACAGCGCCGCATTGTTGATGGATATGTAATTTGAAATAGTAGGTTTGCCTTTTCAAGAAGTACAAAAAATGAAACAAAAAAATTATCGGTTGGTCATAGGTTGACCCTAGAACCGGACCGAACCCATTGGGTCGGTCCGGTCCTCGATCCCAGGCTCAATTGGATCGATCCTCGATCTCAAAAATTGAGGATCAATACTGTGCGGGTTGGTCTTAGGATTAGGGGATAGATCGGTCCAATCCGGATCATGCTAACCCCTAAACCGGATAGAAACTGAGCTGGTTCGGGCCGAAGCCCATGCTTTTCACTTTTTCACTCCAGTACCACTTTCCCTCCTCTCTTTCTTAATAAAACTGAGAAAATATTCGGCGGTATCGTACCACCGCAAGTGATGCGGGATCCATTTTATCTAGTCAGATCCAATTAGAAATCGACATGTGAAAAGCGACTCGGAATTAGATGAAAACAAGTTGAAAGTACATCGGTCAGATGGCAGGATGCAAAAGTTCCACAAATTAATGACACTCGGCGGCTTTAATAAATGCTTGCAAAATTGAAATGGTTCACCAACCCATTTGTTTAACTTTTTTTCACTGTTTGTCTTTTCGTTTCTAAGGAAGAAATCTTCATTGGAGAAAAGCCATGAAAACTTCTAACCCTATAGGATTCATAAGGATCACCAAGAAAACTCCATCCTCAACAGCTTCATCTTTCGTTGTTTTACAAAACTTCTGCCACAAGCTCGAGGGAGGTCTTGGAATGTTGACTCCGGTTCATTGCGAAAGTTGAGCGCAGCAGAGAGATGCAAAGGTTGAGCACTCCACTCCGATTCATTGAGAAGGTTGAGCACAACAGAGAGGTGCGAAGGTTGATCAGTCCACTCTGATTCATGGCAATGGTCAAGCACAGTTGAGTACTCTAGCATGACTACTCAAGCGCTCTCGCTCTTCAGTTTAATTAAGAGATGTTTATAGGACAATAGAGAACTGAATGTCAAGCTTTCATTAAATTCGAAATGGAAGATGGATTTTAGGTAGTTGCCAAGTTTAAGGATGTCCACAATTATCCATTCATTGATGATAAACAAAAACATCTAGTATTATCTTATCGGTATATATTAGATACTAATAAAAGTATATTAACTTCTATGGCTAGGCTGGTATAAAGACTTGGAAAGCACATTCCTACCCGAGTGGTGAAGCAGAGAGACCGGATAATGTTGGTTTTACGTTACGTGATTGTAAAAAATTGACAAAATTTCTTATAATAAAGGAGAAAAAAACATGATTAGTGCGAGTGATTGTCAAAGTCTTATTAATCAATTTACTTGCTTACAATCAAATGAAAGCAATTTTTCTTATTCATTTTATAGATAAGGAACATAGACTGACTAATTATTTTTGTCAGATAGTGATCCAAGCTGGACTATGAAAGTTTTTGTGATGTGGAGGTATTTCATACTACTTACCGTACAAATAAGCACAATATGATATTTGCACATTTAGTTGGCTCCATTCATTATTGGAAAATTGTTCTCTTTGGTTGTGCATTTTTAGTGGATGAAACTATTACTTCTTTTGTTTAGACATTTCAAACCCTTTTTAGAGGTAATGAGTTATAAAACACCCGAGACTATTTTTCATTGATCAAAATGATGCCATGGCAATTGCCATTAAAACATTTTTTTCGATTATTGATCATCAATTATGCCGCGCATGGCATAGTGGGAAAACTACTACCCTTCATATTGTGCATCTTCTCGGAAAGTCGGGTCTTCGTGATGCATATTGGCAAAAACTTCTATATCGTTGCAAATATGAACTTAAAATGGAGAAAACTTGAAATGCTGTGTCAAGATGGAGATTGGAGAAAACAAGTGATTGGATAATATGTATCGCTTGTGTCATAAATGGTGTCCTGCATTTAGTGGTGATAATTTTTCTATGGGAATCAGGTTCACACAAATAAGTGAGAGCACAAATAATGTCTTTTAAGATAGGGCAAAATAAGACCATGACTTTGTCTGAATTTGTCAATCATTATGTGTAGCACCGAACTCTGATTTTGAGTGTGCTCGAGAAGGAAAGCCACAGAGAATGGTTCAAAATAGTGGAATTTTGAAACATGCTGCAAATGTATACACTCACATCACTTAAAGGATCTTTTAGGTTGAGTTCTTGCATGCCTTGTTTGAACATTTTCTTAGATCAAAAACCGATAGGCCATTGCACACTTATATCACAGGAAATGAAAGTAGCGAAAGGAAGGTATTGTCCATTTTAGTTACAGTGATTCTCCTATCACATGTAGCTACAACTCATTTGAAATGCAAGGACGATTGTGTAAGCATACTTTATGCATCTTGACACATGTTGTAAATATTATGAGCATTCCATCACAATACATTCTGAAGAGGCGGGCAAAAGCTGCAAAACAAGGGACTCATTGCGATAATGATAGACAAAGCTCTCACGATGCCGTTAAGTCAAAAACATTGAGTTTGGAGGTTGATACGGGAGGCTTTTAGCGCAATGATCGTCAATGCGAATCATGATGTCATGGACGAGCTTGCAACTACAACTTTGCGGGAGCTTTGCTCCCAAATCGCGAACAAAATAATTGGGAAAAGTTTGAATGAAAGGAAACGGAAAAGAGTGGAGAAAGCAAGGCAAATTGGTTGGCGCGCCATTTTAATTTTGCAAGTATTTATTAAAGCTACCAGAGTCATCGATTTATGAAACTTTTGTAGCCCGCCATCGGCTAATAAGCTATTGCTTTTATTTAATTCAAAGTCGCTTGTCAAATATCAATTTGTAAGCGGATATGACTTGATTAATACGTGCTACATTAGCAGTTGACGTGTAGTATGATATCACTTAATAGTGTCCCTCAAAACACCATTTTGCCTTCTCACACAAAACTCCATGAGCAAAAAGACCGAATTGCTCTCCTTTTAAAAGACACCAACAACAAACCTTAAAGCCTCCAAAACTCAGAACTCTTGATTTCAATCCCTAACACCAACAAAACCTAAGCTCCTCCCCCATGTGTGACGCCGTCCCCCCAAGTCGCTCAACACCTTGCTCGCCGTCTCCACGCTTATTGCCGCTCGCCTATGGACACCCAGCACACTGTTTGTCATCATCGCCCCAGTCTCTATCTCTCTTTCTATCGTACTCTAGTCTTCTCTATGTTGTGTGTGCATGTCTCTCTCTCTCTCTCTCTCTCTCTCTCTCTCTCTCTCTCTCTCTCTCTCTCTCTCTCTCTCTATTCTTCTCTATGTAATGTTATGTGTGTGCGCGTGGCTCTGTGTGTGTAGGTGTGATGCCACGAAAGGATGCGGCGACTTTAGATCAATATTGCTAAGCTCGCATGACCAACCTCTACTCATGGTTATCCATACCAACCTTGATTAAAGATCGTCAACAAGCTTGACCACCTCGTCGAGGTTGTTGGTCACAAAGCTCATCAGAAGTCTAGCCTTAACTCCAGGCACCACCAGACAGAGACACAAAGATGGGTTTCGGAGGTGGCTCTGTGGTGATTGGACACGAGCAAAGCAAAAGGAAGAGAGAGAGAGAGTGGTGGCGGAGGGCTGGGCGGCAGAGGTGAGGACGATGTTCGAAGGTGGCTTAAAGGTGAATGGTGGCGGTGGACGGTGAGGTTATGGTGGCTAGGTTTATCATTTTGTAGTTGGGGTTCTATTTTGGAAAGTCGAAAATTTAGAAGATAGGAAGGGGGAATTTGGGGAGAAAAA